CGGTTTCACACAAGCAGCGAATCAGAACTCCATCTACGACATGATTCAAAACACTAAGTTAAAACACACGTTAATTGTAAATAGGTGTTTATGTCAACTGTGCTATTATATTAAATTAATACGTATGTAGAACAGTAAACAGTAAACAGTTTACGTTTTTATTTTAGAACATCTTACGCTTCAGTCCCTTATGCAAGTTATAAAAGAGAAAGACGTATTCAATAACTGCAAAAGTTCTTTAAGAGAAGTTGTTGCGGATTTTGGTTTCCGCTATTAAAAAGATAATCCAAGAAATTAGGTGCGTATGAAAAAATATGCGATCCGAGACTGGACGCCAATATATCGTGTTGAATGAAACGTAGGTATCTGAAAATGGAACAATATGTAGGTAAGTCATGGCAAGACCACAGTGCAAAAAGCGTAAGAAAAATTAAACCCGAGGAACGCTATTAACATACTGGTATTGATGAGAACAACATCATCTCATAACTATTTAAGATATGTGGTTTTTTCCATGCCGGAAACAAATGGTTGTATTACTGACGCATCTTTAATTTTTGCGTCAAAAACAAATGATCCAGATTACCATGGGGAAAAGAACAAGGAAATATATCCTTTAAAGACTCGATCTAATTATTTGGGTACCTCTGTGGCTTTTTGTAAAAGAAAATTCCTATTGTGGCCTACAGCACGAACTGGGCTAAAAGGTAAAAAGGAGGCCATCCGGAGGACTGGTAGACTCAATTATACACATTTCCTAGGAATTGTAAGAATACCTTAATTATACAGATTTTCGGACACAGTTCGAAACACTATACAGGCCAATCTACGTCTGAACCTTTCTCAATACACAATTAAAAACTCGGGTGGATTTTATTATAGTCAGGCGAGTGTCACTTTCAATTACAAACAAGAATTCACTATATGATGCCCAACAAAATACACCAAAAGCACTTTAGTTTTATTTAAAGATTATTATGAAGTCAACCTGTTTCGCCGTTTCCTTGACAAAACTGGTGATAATTGGAAATTATGCCAATGTGATTAGGAGCAAAAGCTATTGCTTGTTGCACTAATGGGGGCCCCTATCTATCCCACGAGACGACTTTATAGTGCAGAGATCTCGTCACTAACACAGACGTATGTACGGTAAAACGTCAGTAATGGAGCATTTTCTTGTTTCTTGTTTTTAATTCGCATAAAAACAGTAGCAAATCCTCTGAAATAGAAACATATGATCACACATGCGCCTGAACGGTTGCAAGCTGGTTGGTAACCTAGACTTTTTTTTGAGGGGATAGAGTGATGTAAAATGTATTACATTGATTGACTTTGCTTTGTACATTATATGCTTCGTATAAAAAGTTGTCATGAAAATTATTTAGGTGGTACGATAATAACACGATAGTTAAGAAAAGTTTGATTTTATTGTAAAATAAACTAAACAACTTATTACTTTCGCGCTAGACTTTGGGACACGTAACGATCAAGAGGGCATTCTGTTGATTTTCGTTTACTACGTAAACAATTCACGTTTCTAGTTATATTGGATACAACGGCGCTCTTATGCCATACTACAAAATTACGTGTAAAACTACGCGTATAGAATCGGGAAAAAGTTATTCAAGAATGAAATAATAAATTATCAAGCAAGTACATCTTACTACCCAAATAAAATGAAATCCTCTTCCACGTAGTAGAAGAATGTTATGTTTCTAAAGAAAATAGGATCGTAAACTCTTGTTAGGTATAGATTATTAAGGATCCTCAGATCCTTTATAGTTTTGTATTGTCGTCCGTCCGTCCGTGTGCGCTCTAACTCTTTTTAAAAGTGGCCGATTGAGTTGAAATTTGGTGTACGGGTTCTTTGGACATTAAGGACGGACGCTATTGATTTTCAGGAAGCTGGTTCAATAGGAACAAAAGTTATAGGACTTCGAGTGAATCGGGAACAGGAAAAACTACGGGCTCAATATAATAGAAATCAACATATTTCATTCCCCAGGTCATGTATCGGGTTGGGACTTCCGCTAGATTATTCCCTATGACTCTTAGATGTGTAATACTTTAATATAACTCTTCTCTGTGGTATAGGTCGAAAGTTTTAGAGCAAAATGTAGCAAAAATTACACTTTATACATGAATTTAGAGTTTTAAAAGGTTTCAAACGCATTATCTTGATGCAGCAAGAGTACATCACGTGCACATTTGATAACCGCATGTGTGTGATTCAAAAATGTTAAATTATTGCCATATGGGTTTTGATCAAAATAATCAAAATCGTTATTTATGCACCAAGATCGTCGAGAAAAAGACTAGGGGCATTATCTCAATGCTCAAGACATAAATTTGATGCATTTCTGGCGACCACATGGATTTTGATCAAAACATGTCAAAATCGTTATTTATGCACCAAGATCGTTGGGAAAAAGACTAAGAGCATCATCTCAATGACCAAAACATGAATTTGATCTATTTTTGGCGACCACATGAATTTTGATCAAAACATGTCAAAATCGTTATTTATGCACCAAGAACGTTGGGAAAAAGACCAAGAGCATTATCTCAATGATCAAAACATGAATTTGATCTATTTTTGGCGACCACATGGATTTTGATCAAAACAAGATTAAGAGCATTATCTCAATGGCCAAGACATGAATTTGATGTATTTTGTAACATTAAAATAAATTATCGTTAAAAGTTATTGTAATACTGAGGATCCATCTATATTTCGTTGTATCGGTTTATTTATAATGCAATACAATAAATATTTTGGAACTCTGTGTAAACAGGCCGTAATTGGCGTAATTATGCAGGGGAGTGTTGCTTTACTTGTAATCCTTTTACTGTCAGATTGTTAACGGGGCTTTCACATTACGAAGGAGGAACGACCTAAATGTTGCTGCAACGTATAAAGTAAGCGGGGCTATACTGTACGCAAGATTTATGAGCAGCAATAAAGACAACTTCTTTGTCATTTTTCTCATTTTCCGCAGTAAAAGAATATTTCATCATAGTTCTTGCTATAGTCATAAAATTTTGAATGTCATCTGAAACATCCGAGCTAACATTATTAGGTAACTGTTCGAAACGGATGGCATTATTGCTCCAACGATTTAAAGGGAATCACTTATTAGTTTTGGGTGTTCTAAACGTATTTTAAAGAGAAACGTTTGTTCGCCTATTCCTCTGTCCGTTTGTCTGTGGGGGACCCATTATCTTGAATTTCATTTTGACATCATTTTGAGTTGGTCTTGTCGAGTGAGAAACCGTCATTTTCAACTGGAATTCACGATGAATTTATTTCAGTCATTTAGTAAATAACGAAATATTGAATTGCGTGATTGTCCTAGGCATTTTGTAAAATCCATCTTTTTATAAAATGCCTAGGCAGTTTATAAAACGGGGACAAACTCCTAAACAATGTTGTTTGTCATTGTCTATGGGCAAACTGTAGCACAGTGTACTTTCTAGGACTAAGCGATTTAGTTCCCTTCCTTTCCCCTTCGTTCATCAATAAATGGTATCCCTTTATCTATCTAGAAGGGGAAAAGGAACTGCCCCACCGTCAAATTGTTAGCGTTTTACGAAATGATTAGGCAGTTAATAAAGTGTTTTCAATAAATTAAATAATTATATTAGTTACCAGTATAAAAGATCCAAGCTTTTGTAGAAGTTTTCTTTCATTTTCCTTTTTCACGCTGTCGCGCAAACGAGGCACAAATACACAAATAAACAAATTGTCCATAACCCCAAACGCGTAGGAAAAGTAAGTGCGCACGCGTTCAGATTCGTTCCCGAAGAATTCAATGCCCGAAGTATTTAGATTTTAGATGACTAAAATGAATTCAGTTACTTACTAAATGCCTGAAAATCAGCCGGCAGATTTTAAAATAAAAGCACTAACGCATTTATTTTACTATCGCGTTTTATAAAATGCCTAGGTTTGGTTTTATAAAACGCCTATACATTTTATAAAATAACGATTTTTACAAAATGCCTACGACATATACATCTTTCTTTTATTACTTTTACTTAATGGTTTGTTTATTAACGTTATTATTATCTCGTTGTTCGTAACACCCTCTATATTATTAACAAGCTCATAATTTTGTGGTGTATGTCGGTTAGCACGATATTTCGAAAACGAATGGACCAATTATGATGAAATTTTGCAGGGAGTTTCTTTATCAAATTTGTAGATCTGAGTTGGTGAAAAATACATACTACGTCATCTCAAGCTCTATAGCAAGGAGCTCATTTGCTCTATTTGCTTACACATTTATTTACATATTTTATTCGAATTACGGACTCATCCAAAAGGATCAGAGATCAGACACATTATACCTATTAAAAGATAAATTTGTGTCATTGCATAACAAGGATACTCCTCTAAAGAACAATTCATGGAAAATTGGCAACACTTTGGATTTAATTTATGGCGGGTATAAAATCGTCTTCATGGTTATGTGAATGTAGAGATAAAACTCGGAATTTTACAGTCGTGTAATGACGTCATTTTCGTGGGAAAAAACGTATGTCCTATTAAATTTATTTGTTGCTAAGTAACTGACTACTGGTGTCTAATTACCTGTATGACTTTTACTATACAGTGGTGTACATAATATTTTAGCATTTTTTGATAATAATTAAGTCAATTTCCACAAGAAATCTATAGGTCTTAATAAAAGAAGAAGTCCTAATTAACTGACTGACTGACTGAGATATCAACGCACAGCCTAAACGACTGAAGATATCGAAAATAAATTTTAACATGTTAAAAAATGCGAATAGTTCATAATTTTTGCGAGCGAAACCGCGATGGATAAAATGTTAGTATTTCAAAAAAGGTCATTTGCTCACTAATTATTTTAATAACTTGCTCAACTAACATATAAGTAATATTAACATATTTTTGTTTTTAAATAAATAAAGATTAACAAAACGAAAATCACAGAATATTATTTAGGAATCAATACTCCCGAAAAGACCCAAAAAATAATTAGCAGAGGAGTACATAAAAATTCAAAGAACCACTATCGAAACCACATCTACACAAGAAAAAATTGCACTACCTTGATGAATAGTTGGAAAATCAAAATCGTAAAACAAAAATATACCAATGCCAATTTATTGCGATTGTAATGGTCACAGTATTAGAAGAAAATTAGTCGCCCTCGTCCGTATCGTCAGAGTCAAAATCAAAGTATTCGTCGTCAGTAAGGTCGTCATCTGCGTCTGTAGTGATAACAAGAGGTGGGATGTCAGAAGCATCACAAACTTGTACTGCTCCCCAAGCCTCTTGTATTACTTTGTCCGTATGGTTTACGTATTTCTCCCAATTATCCCTAGAAATCTCCCCGATAACCCTTTCCCATGTTGCCAAAACCTCTTGTGGTGATCCCTTAAAATTTGCAATGTACTGATCGTATTTTCGTTTACACTGAGACCACACCATTTCAATCGCATTAAATTGGCAGTGGTATGGCGGTAACCGTAAAATTTTATGTCCTAAAGGCTTAACATATTCATCAAGGTAGTACTTTTTCTCTTTGGGGCAGTTTGCGCTGACAATGCTCCATATTTGATCCTTCATTGCCTTTTCTGGATAGCCGATATTTTTTTCCCCTAACCATTCTATCATTCTTTGTTTTGTCCATGATTTGGTGGGAATTTTCTCTAAAAGGCCAGAATGGTAGCTTGCGTTGTCCATAATAATTAAAGATTTTTCAGGAAGATTTGGCACCAGTTGAGTCTTGAACCAATTTTCAAAATTACCCCTGTTCATATTATCATGATAGTCCCCTGTTTTTTTTCCACTTTTAAAAATCAAACTTGCCCCACCAATAAAGCCATCGTTCGTCCCAGCGTGGACAATAATGTATCGATGACCTAAAGAATATCTCTTTTAATAATATTGAAAAGGTATTATAATATCTTATTTTACCTTCATTGGGTTTAATTGATTCCGTGTGCTTAGTATCATCTTGCCAGCTGTTTCGAAATGATCCCTTACTAAATATCCAGGTTTCATCCATAAAAACCGGAGTATAACCCTCATGTCCCAAATTTTTGTTTTCAATGTACTCCCTTAAGAATTTTATTCGTTTGTGGACAATATCCGGTAAATCCATAAGATATTTTCTGTTATTGGACTTCTTCCATTTAAAACCCATACTTTTGATCCACTTTCTCAATGAATCAATGGAAAATTGAAAATATTCGTTTTGCTCCAGAAATTTTTGTCTAATAGTTGCCAGTGTAACATATTCCTTTTGGGAGTACAATATAATAGATTGTATCCCGAATTTTATTCTTCAAATATTCTGTGATTTTCGTCTTGTTAATCTTTTGATTGGTAGAGACATTAGATGCGTAATCTTTGTCGGATTTTACACCATTTTTTCTCAAATTTGAAATGGTTGTTGGGCTGACTTTCGTTGCTTGTGCAGTTCGCTGTAAAACATTGTTGATGTCTAGTGGTATGCCATTCCGAACTTGTTCCTGTTCAATTTGAAAGAAAGCCAACACATTTATAATTATTAACCGTGTTTGTTCGTTAAATCGATGAGGGTTTTTTGGCGGCATGTTTTGACGCTTTGGCGTTTTCAAAACTTCAAAACTGACAATCACTTGACAAGCATTTCAGGTAAAATTTAGCCACGACAACAACATTTCGGCAAAATTTTTTGTCATTGTCATTTTACATTAGTTAAAAGACAAAAATGACGTCATTACAAGACTGTAAAATTCCGAGAATGCAGCACGGTATTATACTAGCACAATACTAGTTTCAAGCCCAACTCCCAATAAGTGGAAATACTTTGTCAAAAGTATACGTGACGTGTAATGTATTATAATTAAGGGATTACATAAAATTTGTTAGATAATATATTAAGTATCTTTGTCTAAATTGCCGTAGAACACATTTACTTCGTTGTGACCTACAACAACAACCTAAAGAGAATAATGGGATTAAGCCGTATATCTTGAAAGTTTTATGAGCCGCGGTAATTCAGATACTTCGTTGTACTCCGAGGCCTTTCAAATCACATGGAACCACGCCAGTGAAATTTATTACAGGAGTTCCCGCAACATTAAATATGAACACAATTTAAACACTGGTAATTTTTTGTGACCACCAGTGATTTCATTATTTACATGTTGTCCATATTCCCCATAGAGTTTACTCGCCACAGATTAACTTACGACACTTAAAGGAACTCGCCAAGTTTCAATAGTGCCTCTCAATGGATCGAACAGTTATAACTCTTAATTGATGGTCAATCCGCCTCTAATATCTCCTGGCAACGATTCTTATAACTGCTAAGAGTTATTAATTTCAAAACGTTAAACATCATCCAAACAGATTGACGACATAAAACTTTCAGAACTTTCCCCACGTCGACGTTCTCGTACTTGGTTTTAATTGTGTACTGTAAACTAAGTCGAATACTTGCAGCACATCCCTGATTCATGTAACAAAATACCTTCCGATTTCGCTATTAAACCATATTTTACGAAATGGAGAAGGAATATACCGCTGGGAATAGACGAGATTTATAATTCTAGATAAGCCTGATCTCATCGCTGGCAAGGAGCTTCTTTAAGAAGATAAATGTCATAAGGGATGTAGTTTGACTTTCGGTTAAAATTAAAGATTTCAAAGCACTTCTCTCCTTCAACCTTTTCTCGTATCGAAAAAGGTAAGCGGGTCGGTTTGGTTAGATCATTAGTGAGATGGTTTTTTACATCACCAGCTTAACTTACTCGGTTGATTTTAACAGATGAAAATGAGAAGTATTACAGTTCTCGATAGTAATGTGATCCTGAATGTGATAGATTACAACTGTTTACATATAATGTTGATGAAAGTGGAGAGCCGAAATTCTTTCCTTCATATCTGAATTAAAGACATTAGTATCTTGCAATTGCAACTAAATAAATGCTTTGTATGTAGTTAAAATAAAAAATGATAGAGGGTGGAGTTCAGTTGCCTTTTCCTGCCATCTCTTTTTATACAAATTTATTCTTGACGTATCTAAATAGTGACTTGAGTATAGATGAAGTATTGCTGTGTAAACAATGTCAGTTGGGACGTTGTAGTTTGTGTTAAGATATTTGGAATAAAGTGTCTAATTGTTTAATTAAGTTAATTAATAGTAATTAAATGCATCCAACGACATCCGTGTAACTGTCCAGATTTATTAATTTCATTTTGGATGAAATCTGCCACGATTTCAATGGCAGTATAATTTTTCTTTCGATATAAGTTAAGCTTAGAAAGATTTAACTTTAATGCTAATCGTCATAACATGTAGCACATTTAAATAAACCAATATCTCAGTGTGGGATAAACCGAGAGAAAAATATTTCTCTATAAGATCTTCCAATTTTTTTCTATCTGATGAAATCAGTAATTATAAAAATAGGTTTACTAAAATTAAGCAATAGAATCGGTCTAAATGTTTGAATGTTTTTTGAAAATTGCTTTTCCATGCATACGAATACATATCCAAAAAAGTGTTTCGATCAATCAGAGAAAAGTGTTCCGAGTATACGTACTAAAAATACTGTTCTCCCATTAGTGAAACCTAGTTATATATAAAATACATATATCCAACACATAGAGGTTGTGTAGGCATAATATCCCATATGGACAAACATGTATTTGATAAGAATATTTCCCGAAAATTTGGTTGCAATACCAGGCATGTTTTTCAAGTGCCCAACTATTGCCCATCGTATCGTTTTAACAGGTTGTACGATAGATACTGGTTTACTACTGGTGCAAAATATATAGAAAAGTAGATAAAATGAGCACTGGTTAGTAATTTGCTCAGCCAATCAGCAATGCTTTTAAGTAATTTTTTGCACTGAATACAATTTGAATAATTGTTTTGTTTTGTTTTCTATACATTTTGTACAAAAAAACTTGTTTTGTTAAAAATCAAAAGAATCCTACTATAGTAGTGTACATGAAAGATAAAAGATAACAAATATTGCTTTGCTATAGAAAGTTATATTAGATACATACATTTATACTGGACCATTTTTGAAAGATATGTCATATAATAATAATAATAATAATAATAATAGTAGCAACTTAACTAAAACACATGCAGAAAAACACCGCAAATACACCGATATAGCTATCGAGCTTAAGACGCAATGGAGAATGAAATCTACTGTTATAGTTCCCATTATTCTTAGTGCTACCGGAGTTATACCAAAGACAATACACCACAATTTACAACTATTAGGTTTAGACAAAAACACATACAAAAATTTACAAAAAGCAGTCATTATCAACACATGCCATATTGTTCGTAAATTTCTAAACATAACACAAGATACGACATACACAAATGATCCACAACGTATACATGTAAACAACAGCACTCGCTCACAACACGGTACACAACATACTGTAATATCTCCACGTCTAACCCAAACAAACACACAAATACAACTTACCGAACAAACAAGTACAACAAATGATACAACATATACTACAATCAGAGATTCACCTCTGAAGCAAACCACATTATCACAACCCATTAGTATTCAACCCAAACGCAAAAGCCTAAACAGCACTTTAGACTCACAACATGACACACAACATACTGTAATATCTCCACCCTTAACTCAACCAACCACACAAACACAACTTCCTGAACAAACAAACGCAATAAATACAAGTAACGCAACACGCACTACAAAGACGCCCTCACCCAATAAAGTTACACGGCCTAGCACAGCTAAAAAACACAATACTCTTTCTTCTCAGAAACACACCACGTTATCACAACCCACTCGTACTCAACCCAAACGCAGCAACCTTAACAGCACTAGAGGCTCACAAAATACCGTAATGTCTCCACCAATAATCCAAGCAACAACACAAATACAACCTCAAGAACAAAGAAACACCATAAATACAAGTAACGCAACTTGCACTACAAAGACAAGTCCACCCAATAAAGTTACACGTCCTAACACAGTTAAAAAACACAAAACTCCTTCTTCACAGAAACACACCACGTTATCACAACCCACTCGTATTCAACCGAAACGCGAAAACCTTAACAGAATTACAGGCTCACAACATACTGTAATATCTCCACCAAAAACCCAAGCAACCTCACAAATACAACCTCAAGAACAAAGAAACACCATAAATACAATTAACGCAACATGCACTACAAAGCAGTACCGTCCCGTCGAGGTCATGAAAGGACAGTGGTTGACCGGGCCGGGACAATGCAGGGCCGGCAAACACATACGAAAAAATAATAAACGAGGCACTTTATAGTCTGTTTATTCAGTCTGACTGAGGTAAAATGTTTTTTGGAGTCACCGACAAATCTACCATTGTTCTCACTGCACAACGCAAGTGCAAGGCTGCAAGCCATCCTATCTTTAGCTTTACCCACTTTACCTGCTTTCTAAACGCTAATTAATGCTAACTCAACCTCAGTTTTCTAGATCTACGGGCCCGGGTCGGTGGCCGTGACGGCGTATTTTCAATTTTTTGGGCCGGGTATTATGATTGCATGACCAGGCCGGGACGTTCTACGGAACGGCACTGCTACAAAGACAGGTCCACCCAATAAAGTTACACGTCCTAGCACAGTTAAAAAACACAAAACTTCTTCTTCTCAGAAACAACCCACTCTTATACAACCGAAGCGCAAAAACCTTAACAGCACCACAGGCTCACAAAATACTGCAATATCTCCACCAAAAACCCAAGCAACCACACAAATACAACCTCAAGAACAAAGAAACACCATAAATACAATTAACGCAACATGCACTACAAAGACAGGTCCACCCAATAAAGTTACACCTCCTAGCACAGTTAAAAAACACAAAACTCCTTCTTCACAGAAACACACCACGTTATCACAACCCACTCGTATTCAACCCAAACGCAAAGCCAAAGAAACACTTACACAATAAACTCCATTTAATAAAATTACAGGAATTATTATAATGATTTTTTTTGTTTTGTTTTGTTTTCCTCTTTCCTCAATAGCTATGTTGGTAAGTATGAATTACATACTATCTCTAGCTTTCCAATGTGAATGTGTGAATTTTTAATTAATTAATTTTTTTTTTTTTTCGACCCTACATAACTACACCAGACACAGACACAGACACTAATCGTTACTTGATTTTAATCGGTGCGATTAGTTAACCAGGCTAGACCTGAGTTCTCACAAGATACACCGACCATAATAATAATAATAATAATAATAATAATGGATTTTATTGATTAGGAAAAAAAATGGTTCCTACACCATAACCAATAGGTTCAGGGTCAGATAAACCAGTAGGTTACCTGTTCTTCCCCCTGTACCCCTAGACACATAAAGAATATATTTATACACATAGATTCTACGAAATAAAACAATTAGCAGTTCAATTTTGATTGAAAACAAGCACAAATCTACTAAGTAACTACCTACCAACAAAGGAAATAAAAACAAAAACAAAACAATAATAAAATTATGTTAAATTATGCTAAATGTCGCTCTCTTATTAATAATTTTTTAATTTTCCGTTTAAAGGCATCTTCGGACAGGGGCAATAACTGTCTGTACACCGAATTATTACAGAATTTGCAGATGTTAAATGAAAAAGAGCGTTGAAACATTGCTAAATTGTGTATAGGGATGGAAGCTAAATCCCTGTGCCTCAGATTTAAATGATGCACATCGGTCCGGAAGGTAATTTTATCGTACAGGTACGGTGGTATCTTATGAGTTAAAACTTTTCTAAAAAGTGACGAAGCATGCAGTCGCCTTCTTTCCAACATATTCAACCAACCAAGTCGAGCTAAGGTGTGCGAAATTCTGTCATATTTCCTGATACCGAACACGAAACGTAAGCACGAGATCTGCACTCGCTGAATTCTGTCACGGTCTTTAGCTAACAAACATGGACCATACAAAACATCGCAATAGTTAAATCGCGACAGAACCACAAAGAACAGTCTTGTGTTTGGTACCATGAATATGACGACTTGAGTAAAGACTCCTCAATTGACCGTAAGCCGAAGCAATAAGGTTGTCGATGTGTTGGGTAAATCTCAATTTATTTACAATCAATAAGCACACCAAGATTTTTTACACACTTCAGCGATGGAATTGAGTCATTGCCAATTTTTAATGCAATTTTATTGTGTATGCCAATGTTGTCATCACCGAACACTATAAAACACGATTTTGCAGGGTTAATTATTTACGAATGATCTTCCGATGCCTTGTGTACATTTTCTAGATCTTCATTGATACATGCCAAAGAGGATTCAAGTTCAGTTCTTGTAAAAGAGTAATACAACTGGGTATCGTCCGCATAGAGATGGTATTTACAGTGATTTAGTCCTGTCAACAAATTAAATGTATAAACTGTGTATAACAAGGGTCCTAATATGAAACATTGCGGAACACCTCTAGACACAGTCGTAAGCTCTGAGTTCACTCCATTTACAGTTACTCTTTGGCATCTATCACTCAGGTAATTACGTATAAGCTTTAAAGCATTATAATCCAGTCACATGTCAAATGCCTTAGAATAATCAAGTAGAACCAGAATAGTGATTTTTCCACAATCAATTTCGGTAATGATATCATCAACTATACTACATAGTGCGGTTGCACAACTATATCCCGCTCGAAAACCTGACTGAGTCAATGGCAAAATGCTATGTTTACTTAAAAACAGCCGTAACTGGTATTCTAGTACCTTCTCTAATGGCCGTTTGCACCGACAAATTTAAGCGGAGCTTAGCTTAAGCGTAGCTTAAAATCCATGGCAATCATTGTCTCAATAATCGTTGTCATGGATTTTAAGCTACGCTTAAGCTAATCTCCGCTTAAATTTGTCGGTGCAAACGGCCATAAGACTTTATTATATGCTCTGTATTATACGCTATCCTTTTTGTCTATTCCCAAATGACTAGGTACTTAATTATAACCGTGTAAATCCTAAATATAATGTACTTAATCATCATTTTATAGCTTTATAACACGTACCTATGTTATTACTTATTACGTTACGTTCAAGCCGATGTCTGCACTTACGTTAGGTGTTTTCTGAATTCTCTTTTATTACGGAAATTTCTACTTTGTTGTCGCCGTTTTCATTTTTTTTTGTCGAAATTTCCACTTTTTTGTTGAAATTTCCATTTTTCTGTCGAAATTTCCACTTTTTGTTACCATTTTCAGCTTTCTTTGGACATTTTCACTTTTTTCTAGCAACTTCCACTTTTTTATAGAAACTTACACGTTTTTGTCGAAGCTAACGGGTAACAGCTAACAGGTATCAGCTAACAGCTACGGGGTAACAGATAACAGCTAACAGGTGAAGCGTTGTGTTTATGAGCTACCTGTTTATGGTAACAGCTAACGGGTAAAGCTAACAGATATCAGCTGAAAGGTAAAGAGCTGTTCATTTGAAAGTTGTTTGTGGGGAAGCTTTTTTCACATTCAGCGAGAATATAGACGGAACGCAGCGCTACCAAAAACGGTTTTCATCTTGGATAACAATACTTATAAAGAGCAGGATAACATGAGGGAGCGTACTTTGTCAATGGAGAAGCAAGCTGTTATTTAAGGGGAAACAGTGTAAATAATTAGTACTTGTATTTAAGAGGCACCATAAGATGGTAATGCTGAATTGGTCGTTTAAGAGCTCTGATATAATTAGGGATGCGCGATTTCAAGTTCAGGTATTCCTATTTCCTTACATAGCTCAGTCTAACACACCTATTTAACACTTCGCTAAATGTATTCAGGTAAATAGACCTACCTATTTGGTAAATTGACAGAGCGTACCCGCAGGTGGGAGGCCTTTAATAATATTAGGTATATCTGAGACACCCCCAAGTTGAGTTCAAATGACTTTTTGTAATTGGCGGATGCGCAGAACTCAAGATCGTCAATATTAATAGCATGCTGCTTTGTAATGTACACATGTTAATGTGACATGCCATTTTTAAACGTCCCGGTGTTTGTAATTTGGTGGGTGTGAAACGGGTCTCCTCTTACATTGCGCAAAATTTAAAGGGTGATGATTAACTGCATGTGTTAGCCTATAATTCCTCAAACTGTACTCTCAAAAACCTGCATGGCGGTAGTGAAAATTTTCCACCGCATTATTCAAGGTTGCACTAGTTTTGACAACAAATGCCGCTGGGTCTGATGAGTTTAGATCTTGGAGTCCGAAAGATAATTGCTTTATTAGAGTATCGACAACCACGCGAGCTAGCGCCAAATGCTGATATATTTAGGCAAAGTGGCTAGGTTATTAATTTATAGAAGGATAATTTGAGTGAAATATCTCCAAAAGCATTGCGTGAACAACAATTTATCGCTTGCAACATTTCTAATCCAGCTTGTATGGAATGTTTATAGTGCCTTAGGGTAGGTACACATGATTTTATAGAGCTTTGCAGCTTTTAGATACGAATCTGGAATTCCGAGAAATTATTGAAAGTATCTTTTCCAGCGATAAGACAAATTTAATTTAACCATTTGTTTACGTTTCTCGAGAATGTTTCCAACGTAACGATTAAAAAAGTTTAAACGAGCTTTTTATGTGTGTTTGAAATGTTTCTTTTTTATCGTCGTCAGTTCGTGAAATAAAATTTCTGTTGACATTTTTGCCCCCTGATGTTGATAGTTGCATAATCTGTTTATTCTCTAATGGGGTTTAACGGAGGTATCTTTCACATTAAATCTATGCCCTCCGACTTTGGAGGATTTTCGGAAGTATTATTTCTAATAAAAGTAAAAACGTCTTAACGAATGTTTCTATTTCATTTTTCATTGGTGTTACTTGGTTCCCCCTTTGATAATTACGGACATTAAATTAAATTATTTATTCATTTTAAAACCAACCACATTATTAAATTGGTAATCTTTCTTTATAAGAAAACGGTACAGATTGTTGGTGCTCCAATATCATTAAGCAAAATATGTTGCTCGTGGAACAATTTTCATCGAGATACCTTTGGACACTTCGTTCTCGGGATATTCGCATGTAAAGCGTTGAGAAAACGGAATAGTAAAATTCGCTTAATTTTGATAGCATTTTTTAATTATTTTAGAACACAGTATAAAAATTCGATTATATATTATTTTTGTAAAGAAAATTGTAAGACATAAAAAGGTAAATGAGACTAACATGCCGGTGCATGAGTAATAAGTGCTCTCGCTGTCTAAATCCCTGGTTTTTGTAAATTTTTTTATCAACGTTTCAAATAAAGTAGGTAATTCGTTTTGAAATGAAATCCCCATATATTTACAAGTTTATATTGATACTCCGAAAGAAAAATGCGTAGGTGAACAAGAACCCTCGATGAAAATGTGTTTCGTATGGTTATGTCGCAACGAAAATATATTTACTTTGGAGATATAAGCGGGTTTTTAATTTACTTCCCTATAGAAATTTCTTGGAAATTGTAAGATTCAATAAAATGAAAACGGTTTGTGCTTCAAGAACCCGTAATTGGTTGAGTTATACTGCATACGTATACCTGCAGTCAAAAGATTTCCTTCAGAATTTCCACTAACATTTTAACGAAATGCAAGAATACTTTTGAATCTAACAAATCAAATTAGCATTGGTGCCCGATTGCAAAGCTAAACATGATACTGGTTGAAAAAATGAACGCGTTGTGGTCACTTTGTTTCAGATACGAATGCAATAACCCGAAATTGGATGTGCTCTATGTAGACAATGGTTCATTTTTCGGCCGTGTTCAATGGGATGGGATATATAATGAAGTAAACAGTTATGTTCGGAGTTGGCACTACTTATTAAATTCTTTTATTCAAAAGGGTTTAATCGTAAAAAAAAGGCAGGCGGTTACAACTTACAATGATTGCTTTGAAAATAACTCTACGATCGCAGTGCACTTTTATCTGCAGGTTAAGCGTTTTTCAGTGACTAAGAAAGAATTTTATGGAGGAAGTGCTATAAAATCAATAACGACCCTAATGTTACTAACGTGCTGCAAATGTACTGTACGCTGAGATGCTATAAATTCATTTTTAGGAGATAACTCATTTTTCAAATATGTATAAGTGAAGACTTGCTTTTCGTATGGTAATACATGATTGTGCTTAATAAAATATTTTCGTGCAATAGCAATTTAAGCCTGCAGTAATAAAAAAAGCGGCGACGCGGTGCTTATAAGCGTAAAACTTTTTCAAGAGAGTATGTAGCTGAAAAGCTTTTCGAGGCACTCTTACCTGACTTACAGAGCTGCTTGCACGTCGTGACCCTCCATCTGAGAGACCACCGGCGTGGTTATAGCCCTGGTTGATTACGCCTCTAGATGCAGATCGATAGGGTGATGTGATCCGTCCTCGTGATCCTATAAGAAATTAAATTGAGGTCGTTAATGATTGAAATAGATATAATTGAAATTGTTCCAGTTAGTTTGGAGTTTCGGGAGTTTATACGTTGTTCATAATATACTCTTTTAACTAATATTCCCATTTATAATTGGATTAATGTGTGTCTGATGAAATATTTCATAGGTAAAAGTTTTAGTTCTGCATATTGCTTTCAAAATTTAATTATGAAGTGACAAGAACTAAACTTGTGCTTCAAATGAGATAGCTTTTAAAAATTAACGAATTTTGCTTTTGTGATTTATAAAATGTACGGTTCTATATAATACATGTAAGTAATTTCCATCCTGCAACAAAGCACTAAAACGTCACAGTTATAATAATCAGATTACTTAATTGAAAGCAAAATTAATTAAAATAATGCTGGTTGATTTCAATATATGTATACATAAACATAAACATAACTTTCTATTGTAATGCTGCATTCCTCTAAACTCTAAAGTATCTTATTTAGCCATACAAGTTTATTTCGGTTTCAATGACGCGGCTTGAAAAATAGTACCTAAAAAAAATCATATGTTCCCGTATATTGCCTGTGTCGGTCGTATCAAAATAACGCAATGGACTTAAGTTGTAGATGTAGGCCCTCCATTTAATGATAACTAATGATATTGCTCTGGTGAGAACACGGCCGACTACTAATTAGCACGCATGCCCTTTTGTATTAATGTCAATTCTGTTTAGATTAGATCCGTTAGCGATCTCGTAAGACCGATGTAGGCTAAAGCAATGTCTAATCGAAGAATCATAAACGACCCGTAGTATTTGTCTGTTATTGACTAAGATAAGATTCAGAATATACAATTGGCGCAATTGCAATAGCAATTATGTATATAGTTTGGTGATTATTTAACATAATGAATCTCAACAACAACCCCTATGGAGTTCTTTTAAAGGAGCAAGCATTATCATAAATGAATAGAGACAACAAAGCATGCAATAATGTTAACTAAGACTGCGAAACAATGGGGTATCGGGGTGGGGGGAGCTGAACATCAAAAGAAACGCTCAGGTGTATTTTTTCTGAAGCGATGGTGTGGCGTAGAACCAAGTTGATTGAGTTTAAGTAGATGTGTGCAGCCGATTATAAATGGCACAGTTGAGATATGCTCGCCAGGAGAGAATACCGTTTACAGAACACTTGATGCCGGTCTACAATCATATGGTTTAATATGAAAAACATATGATTTTAGACCGGCATCAGGTGTTCTGTGACCGACATTCTCCCCTGGCGATCATAATATGTGAAGTTCAAGTACCGCAATTGCAATATTTCAGTTTGACCTTATTGTGCCTTTTTTACAGTAATACAAATTTTGAGCTCATGATATTTGAGTGGTTCAAGAGAGGGTTCAAGTGTTTACACCCTTTTCTCGGAAATATTCCTATGGAGGATTCAGATTATTCTGGTGGGTTAATTAAATACTCGGCTAAGGCCGAGGGAGAGATATCCGGATTCAAGCACGAAAGGTTCTAAGTGTCAAGTGAGTCGCCTCCACTTTAAAATAAAAGAATAAGAAAAATTCCCAAATCACCTTTGGAGTAATTCGCGATAGACGTAAAGGTGTTTTTTTTCTCCAACCACCTCAATAAGACGCTATTTTGTGACAGTGTTCGGTTAATTAATTAGTGGTTAAGAATCCAAGTTTTCAACCTCCCACCCCTTGTACTTTCCCCGTGTCACCTTTAAAACCAAAGAAATTTGGTAGGTTTTTTAGTTTTTCAATCATATCTTTCTATAGGTTCACTTTACAAAAAAAATATAAGAAATTGTAGACTATAATAGTTATTTATGTATTAAGGGCATAAAGCTGATGTTTATATCCTCGAGGGCGATGAGTTAAAAAGCTCGAGGGCCGATAGGCCCGAGAGCTTTTTAGTCGCCCGAGAGTATAATCATCAGTTTATGCCCGTGGTACATACAAAATTTTATGTCTTACAAAATAGTTTCTTTCGTCAAAGTAAATATTCGTTTACAAAACAATTCATTATGTTTGATCAAGTATGAGTGGTTCGAATTTGTTAATGTGATTGAAACTATAGTTACTATTGAAACCATCCAAACGTCAAACGTTTACTCAATTCATCATGGATGAAGTTCCAGAAAGTATTCAAAATAAGGCCAATCTTGCAGCGGACCAATTAATTCCACATAAGTCTAAAAGTTTATATAATCTGGAATACTCAAAGTTTGTTAAATGGTTAGCCAACAACGGTACAGGAATTATTAATGAAGTAGTACTCTTAGCGCACTTTCAGGAATTGGTGAGTTTAGTATTTTCATTTCTTTTGATTTGTTTAATGGCTGTGTGTTATAGTCTGAAGTGTTTCAACCAACGTCTTTATGGACTAAATTTTCTATGATTAAAAAAACGCTGCTTTTGAACAAAAATGTTAATATTGGAAATTATGCAAAATTGACGCAATTTTTAAAAAACGTCTCCAAAGGTCACGTGTCCAAGAAATCAAGCGTATTAACGCGCGAGGATATTTTAAAGTTTTTGCGGCAAGCACCTAACCACGAATATTTATTAGTGAAAGTGGCACTAATATTTGGGATCTACGGCGGATGCAGAAGGCAAGAACTATGCGACATGCTTATTAGTGATGTAGAAGATAGAGGTGAAGTTATTGTGGTTACAATTCCTCAAACAAAAACTGATAAGTAGCGAATATTTTCCATTATTAATGAGACGGAAATGGAAGCCATCCAAACCGTAAAAAAGTATTTAGCACTGCGTCCGCAGCACTGCAACTTGAAGCGGTTGTTTTTAGGCTACAGGAAAGGGCTTTGCATTGCTCAACCTGTTGGGAAGAACACGTTTGGGAAAATCCCCTCTACAATTGCAAGTTACTTAGGCTTAAAGAATCCTGAAAGTTATACGGGTCATTGCATGCGTAGAACTTCTGCTACGTTACTCGCGGATGCCGGTGCTAGCATGACTACACTAAAGAGACATGGGGGATGGAAGAGTACAACTGTAGTAGAAGGGTATATTGAAGACAGTTTAACAAGCAAGAACAAGGCAGCTAAGCTAATTGCGGGAGAATCGCTAAATATTAGTACAGCGTCAAATCATCTGGCAAATACTAATTCACCAGTAAGTTTAAACGGTGGCAATGCTATCTTTTCGGGATCTTTCAGTAATTGCACCTTTAATATTAATGAAAAAAAATAAATACTGCTATTTTTCAGGACGTATTTATGAAATGTTAATAAAGTTTGTTCCATTGTTGCGTTTTTCTTTAAGAAGTGACATGTATTTTATCTGTAAGGAATCTTTCGCACGGAGAGCCCTACGGCTCGCACTTGTGACAGTTAATAGGTATTGACATTTAATAATTGACGTTTCTGTTTTGTCATTAAGTATAAATGAGTTACTATGGTGATACTTAATGCCCTAGGGCATAAAGTGGTACTTTATGCCCGCGTATCACAGATATAAAATGTGCTATTATATGTTAGTAAGACATAAAATTCTACACAACTTTGATAAACACTACTTTTTTGTGAAATGTTTATTAAAAACGATATAGAGTCAGAGTTGCTTATATTTTTAAGAATTCTAAAATTTGTATGTAGATTTTATACTTTATCTCTATAATTAAGAATTGTATGAGAAAACATCTTGAACTTATCGTGGTATAAATCCCCCTACCCTGCACCCTTACCAAGGGGGATGCATAATAATTCAACTTCAACCCTTGCTAGTGGGGATATTTGAATCACTGTGAGATTGTAGCGCTTTCTAATATACGTTTGTAACACAAAAATTATCTCACTCAGGGCTATCGTTGGTAGAAATTAGTTCCTTTCGTAGAGACCTTTCATGAGAGTACCATGAAGGATAAAACTAGTTCCACTCCCCCCCCCCCTCGCCCACTAGCCCGTACTTTGATAAGAGGGCAGAAAGAAGGGATGTAATTGGTAAAAAACGGTTCCTTTCGTGGAGACCTTTCATTAGAGTACCATGAAGGATAAAACTAGTTCCACTTTTTTAGCATATTTTTGCAAATTTATTTGTAAAAAGTAGCTTTTAATCTCACTTTGGCTAGCTGGCTGGCTGGCTGGCTGCAAATGTGGGCGCGTAGAAGAACTCTTGTAGAAAGGCAACGGGTGTACGTGTATCTACAAGGCCGTGAAATTTGTCAACCTTAGGGACATGGCTACATAATGTGCGGTTGGCGACATCTAGGCGTCATTCTCGAGCGTAGTATACTAACGTGAAAGTTTTTCAGTTTTTTCCTATCTTCTACTACAGTTTTGGTGCGATTCTTTTCAAATTGGTGTCGTGGGAAAGATGTTGTAAACGCGCACAACTCCTGCGTGGCGGAATTTTGTTTTTTGTCCTAGGGGCGAAATTAACGACCTTTTGCGAGGCGCGCGCGCGCGTCTTCGAGAAGTAGTCAACTTCGGGCGCCTTTTACCTTCCGTTGCGAATTTTGTCACGCGGTTTAACGTTTCGTAAATCTCGAATCGCTGTCTCTCTTTCTCGTGTCGCCAATAGAAGCGAATTGCGGGTGGGTGGACGGGACGTCGGAAGTGGCTACCGTCAAAGGGAATGTGGTAGCCCCCGACACGATTTTAACTTTAAAAGCGAATGGCGGGTGCACGCGGAAAGTGGGAAACGGTTAGTGAATGTAGTAGCCTGCGACAAGATCTGTTATTGATGGTTGAGTCGAAAGTGGCTAATAGAATACTGATCTGCCACACAAAAATGCGCTGAGGTCCCTTCGATCTCACACGAGGACTTTGATAATTTTTTTTAATTCTTAAAAATGCGCCAAAAATGATATAAAAGGACTTTTGATATATCATCTCAACACAAACTAACTACAATATATTTTTTAGAGAATCTCTATCCCACGCTCATTATGTCCTCGCGCCCTTATGTCCCGCGCCCTTATGTTCAGCGCCCTGTTGTCCTCGCACCTTTATGTCTCGCACCCTGATGGCCGCGCCCAAGGCCGCGCCCTTTCGGCGGCGCCCTAATGTCCGGCTGCGACAAAATACATAGTTCGCCGGTATTATAAAGCTTTTTTTTTTAATTATCTACATATAATAATAAATAATAATAGTCATTTATTGGATAACGTACAAAAGAAACAATACATAATTCTAGTGAATATTAAACTAAATTTATTACGTTATTCCAAAAGGGCGAAGTTCAGATGTGTAGTGCAAACTACAATCTGTTCTGCCACTTAACCCTATTAATAATTTATTGTGATAAGTCAGATTATGGCAAATAATTATTCAAGATGGAACCCAGCGAATGTACTTATCCGAATATAGAAAAAAAAATGACAGTGATAGTATTTTTTAAAACAGAATAAAACTCATAATACCGAAATTGAACATAAAAATAAAATAAAACATATTATCTCAAATGCGTTTGTTGCTGCTCTAGAAGTATTAGTTTAAGGTTTTCTCTGAAGCGTTTTTGGGAACATGAGTGTAAATGACAGCAAAGGGAGTTGTAGATTTTTGGTGCATTGTAGCTAAAAGACCTTTGATAAAGGACAGTTTGTTGCTTAGGAATTGATATAAGGTACTTTGATCTAGTATTAAGATTATGTAAATTATGTCTAAATTGAATTTTTTCGTACAGATACGGTGGGAATTTATTGGAAATAATTTTATGAATAAACTTATAAAGCATACTTAACTATGTTGTGAGGCTAACAATGTTTGTTAAGGCATATGATTGGATGGTTTTGAAAATAATGACATCATTATTTTCAAAATTATCCAATCACATTCCTTAACAATATTGTTAGCCTGACAACATAGCTTTATAGTGCCGAGTGTGTAGGGGTCTCGGTAGGGGTTGTATTAAATGTATAAGTGAAGGTTCATTTGAACACCTGTCCTAACACGCAACTTTTTGGAAATGTTAAGTGAAAGAGGCACTTCTCCATGGATTCCTAGTGATGAGTTCCACTGTTAATAAAAATTGTGTTATACGTGCGGAGGCGTTTACAGGATCTCATATTACAAAGACCTTGATGATACTTGTATACGCAAGGTAATAAATAAAAACGATATAATTAGTTATATTACGTATCACTCGTCGCACGAATAAAAGTAAACGTAGCTGGGGACGCTGGGGTGAAAATGTTGCTACTAAACGTAATGCAATACTTTAATTTCCCCAGCTGTAAGGAAACCCTCGTCAGTTTTTTAATTTACTTTCCATCCGCATTTTAAACAGTACAGCGTTCGCATTCTCCACAAAATAACGAATTCTCCACGAATAAAATTATTTTTCGGTGTAAATAAAAGTTTGCGAAGATTTCTATTATAGTTTGGAAGGGACTTTTAATTAATACGCGCTTCAACATATTTCATAAACTAATTAGCACAATGAACGTGGAACGCTTTCGCAATTTCAAGCACTTTTCAAAGTGTTTACTTTCGAAACGTAATTCTGTGATAAATTTGAACGGAATGATACTTACCAGCATTATCTGCACTGGCTCGCCTTTCTGTTACTAAAGGCTCTTGAAAGGTTAACGTTAAGCTGCCTCGAGGACTTCGTCCCGCATCATTGGAATCTGCCGTTAAATTTCGTGCGATGCTCCCACGCGGACTTCGATTGTGATTAGTCTCTCCACCTATGCTCCCCCGTGGACTTCGATCACCTTGGTACTCACTACATATACTTCCCCTAGGGCTATTCTTCAAAAATATACTTTCGGGTGCTATACTTCCTCGAGGGCTACGATTTCCATCAGGTATAATGCTGTGACGAGGACTTCGCAGTTCTTCACTTGGACTAACTTTCGCGTTCCAAATTTGAGAGTCTGAAGGCGTTAAACTTGGTCGAGGACTTCTATTCGTATCGGGAATTAAACTATTTCTTGGACTTCTATTGAAATCAGGCGCCAAACTTAATCTAGAGCTGCCTATATTATTGTCAGGAACGAGACTATGTCTAGGACTTCGACTTACTTCTGGCACTAAACTGTTTCTTTTATTATTTACACTTTCAGGCACTAAACTATTTCTAGGACTTCTATTAAAGGTATCGGGCACAAGGCTGTTCCGCGGACTAAACGCTGCTTCCGGAATGAGACTATTACGGGGACTTCTGGAATAATTTTCACCCGGTACTAAACTGTGCCTTTGCATCCTTAATACTGCGGCATCCGGAACTAGACTATTCCTCGGACTTAAGGCCGAATCTGGAACTAAACTATGCCTCGGGCTCCTTCCAATGGGCCCGTCTTCTCCACAATCATGGTTATCCAGTGATATGTCAGGAACAATACTTGGTCGAGGACTACGATTTAGATCTGCTCCTAATATACTTCGCGAAGCACTTTCACTATCCACAGGTGAAACGGCTATGCTTGCGCGTCGCCCGGGACTCGTCCCCGCAGATCGGGAACCTCTGTTTTGCGACGATGGTGCCGCGCTACGCGAAGTCCGACGACGGCGTGATGATGAGCTTCTGTGAAGCATCCTGATCTACATGTCAAATCTTCATTGAAGGATTATAATACCCTGGCATCTGAAAATAAAACGAGAAATGCATTAATTGGGAGAATTATTTCTTGGTTACGGAAGCGTATGGTGTAATTAACCTTGTACATGGGTTATAGGGTAAAAAATAAACCTTTATTCACGATCATATTGTAATCAGTCTCATAATTGTCATTTTGAAGGTTAAGGAAGTTGTATTTTACAACACTTATTTTTCCAGGAGGGAGGAAAGTAGATTCTCGAGGTTAGTAATATTCGATTCGAGGTTAGTAATGTAATATTCATTGCCTACCTCGATTTAGTTGCTAATATCCTAATGAATGGCGCTCTCATCGTAACTGTCTGACACTGATGACAGCCGATTTAGATGCAAATTATTCAAAACCGCATTTTAAAAACAATTCTTAATCTTACTATGAGTAATATGGATTATTTGAAGTTTGGTGCTTTTTTTGTAAATTGCAAATGAACGATCAAACGCGAAAAAGTGAAATAAGTAAATGCAGACCGAAGCAAACACAAGTAGGAGTTGTGATTAACTTTAGCCAGACTGCGGGAGTTTTGTTTCAAGTAACCTAAAACTAAACGAGCGCGGTGCTAAATGGTTAAGAACAAAAGCAAAAAGAAACCGTTAATTATTAAAGGATCGGTAAGTATATAAAACTCGAACTTGAGTTTAATGAAATTGATTGTTACCTTAGAGAGCCCATTACTGTTTAAATTTCTGGGTGGAAAAGATCAATTCTTGTCTATAAGAGATGGAAACATTGGGTTGCGCTTGCGGCCCATGAGAAGAGCAGGGGATGGCAATTTATCGCATCATAATGTTGCATAACGGAGACGTCGTAGCACTACCTGAAGAGGATACTGCCATACTTTGTTATTTTCGGGTGCCAGTAAAGCGAATGGGCCACTGAATTGGCGACGAAACCTACTGCTAGTGCAGCCAATCTACAGCCACCGAACTGTTTTAAGTTGAAGAACTCCACTGGCACTTACTAATATTGTAGCGATCATATGCCAAAAACAATGTCCGGTAATTAAATGTAATTTGTCACGTTTTAGAAATAGATAATGCTATTTTTTAGGGCTATCGTATTGGAACAGGTGTTTAGTGACTACCTGATTGGATCTGGAGAATAAATCTTTCGTTATTGACATCTGCACACATTATAATACTAATATTGTAACCCAGTCTAAATCTGTATTCACAAAAGATCGCTGTAGGTACATTTTAGAATAATAAAACTGACATGATCATTAGGCATTACCGCATTAGGTTTGAATGTGGATCACAACATTATTTGATCGTTCATAATGTGGATGATTTCTTTACCTTTACCTCATTAAAATAAGCAAGTACAACATGAAGTTTTACCTATACCCTTTCCTGCCCACCATTGTTCATTCGCTTCAAAAATTCATTCGGGGAGTAAATTTTTTACTACACTCAATTTCCCTTATTTGAGGGGATGTACATTGAGATTCTTTAGTATGGGCCATTTTTTAACATACATGTTAAATTAATATGAATATTAATGGGGTAAATTTCCAAATCTGTATTACCGACAACATTTTATGTAGGGCAATAATATTGCAGATGGCGTATAAGATGAATATAAAACGTATAAATTTAGTGAATTATTTTATTTTTGATAATGGAATGATTATATGATGATCGTGAATAATAGTATATTACGCACCGAGTGCGAAAGTAGGTTATTTTTCGAAGAATTTTAATCACCCGAGGCGCGCAGCGCCGAGGGTGATTATATTCTAAGAAAAATAACCTTTCGTCGAGGTTCGTATACGATTTTATTCACGATCATCATTATAATCATTCCATTATCAAAAATAAAATAATTCACTAATTTTATACGTTTTATATTCATCTTATGCGCCATCTGCAATATTATTGCCCTACATAAAATGTTGTCGGTAATACAGATTTGGAAATTTATCTAATTAATATTCATATTAATTTAACATGTATGTTAAAAAATGGCCTATACTAAAGAATTTCAATGTACATCCCCTCAAATAAGGGAAATTGAGTGTAGTAAAAAATTTACTCCCCGAATGAATTTTTGAAGTGAATGAACAATGGTGGGCAGGAAAGGGTATAGGTAAAACTTCATGTTTTACATGCTTATTTTAATGAGGTAAAGGTAAAGAAATCATCCACATTATGAACGATCAAATAATGTTGTGATCCATATTTAAACCTAATGCGGTAATGCCTAATGATCATGTCAGTTTTATTATTCTAAAATGTACCTACAGCGAACTTTTGTGATTACAGATTTAGACTGGGTTACAATATTAGTATTATAATCTGTGCAGATGTCAATAACGAAAGATTTATTCTCCAGATCCAATCAGGTAGTCACTAAACACCTGTTCCAATACGATAGCCCTAAAAAATAGCATTATCTATTTCTAAAACGTGACAAATTACATTTAATTACCGGACATTGTTTTTGGCATATGATCGCTACAATATTAGTAAGTGCCAGTGGAGTTCTTCAACTTAAAACAGTTCGGTGGCTGTAGATTGGCTGCACTAGCAGGAGGTTTCGTCGCCAATTCAGTGGTCCATTCGCTTTACGGGCACACGAAAATAACAAAGTATGGCAGTATCCTCTTCAGGTAGTGCTACGACGACTCCGATATGCAACATTATGATGCCATAAATTGCCATCCCTTGGGTCATGGGTCGCAAGCACAACCCAATGTTTCCATGTCTTATAGACAAGAATTGAACTTTTCCACCCAGAAATTTAAACAGTAATGGGCTCTCTAAAGTAACAGTCAATTTTATTAAACTCAAGTTCGAGTTTTATATACTTACCGATCCTTTAATAATTAACGGTTTCTTTTTGCTTTTGTATTTACTTAGCATTTAGCACCGCGCTCGTTTAGTTTTAGGTTACGTGAAACTATCATTTCCCGTAATCTGGCTAAAGTTAATCACAACTCCTACTTGTGTTTACTTCTGTCCGCATTTACTTATTTCATTTTTCGCGTTTGGTCGTTCATTTGCAATTTACAAAAAAAGCACAGCACTTAAAATAATCCATATTACTCATAATAAGAATAAGAATTGTTTTTAAAATGCGGTTTTGAACAATTTGCATCTAAATCAGCTGTCATCGGTGTCAGACAGTTACGATGAGAGCGCCATCCATTAGGATATTAGCAACTAAATCGAGGTAGGTAATGAATTATTACTAACCTCGAATCGAACATTACTAACCTCGGGAATCTACTTTCCTCCCTCATGGAAAAATAAGTGTTGTAAAACACAACTTCCTTATCCTTCAAAATGACAATTATGAGACTGATTACAATATGATCGTGAATAAAATCGTATACGAACCTCGACGAAAGGTTATTTTTCTTAGAATATAATCACCCTCGGCGCTGCGCGCCTCGGGTGATTAAAATTCTTCGAAAAATAACCTACTTTCGCACTCGGTGCGTAATATACTAATTAGAACGTGCCGATGGAGACCCTGAGTAGGAAATGAACATATGCGTTTTTGAATTCTATTCCAGAGCATATAAAGGTAATTATCAATTAACGGCGTAGATGATAAGGTAGGTATGCTTATTTAGTCAAAATCCTTCGAACTTCGAATTTAAAACCAAGCCTACACAATGTACTCATATAGGTAAAACTAGGTATGAATGTTGGCACTCCTTTATTTTTTTGACAAGTGCATTTTCTTCTAAGTTGATATATGATCAAAAAATAAGTAATACAAAACTTTCCGCTATATTTTGGAAATCAAAAATTCGTCATTCGCTTATTTTTCAAAAATCGATGTCTCGCTAAATAGATGCCAACTTTAACAGATCCTATCAATCGTAAAATAAACTTTTGTGTAAATAACGCAATGAGGGCGATTTATTCGGCATCGACACCTGCAGAAATTATGGGTCACCTCACCCTGTCTGTCACCATTTCAATTTCATGTTAACGTTAAATGCGGATTTAGTTTTGGAGACTAAGCGCAATGACGATCATGCCATTCGATTTCGGATTCGAGATTGCTTATATTACAATTATCGGTTGCTAAGGTTGTTTCAATAATTACCTTGTATTTTGTTTAAGATTAAGTTTATTCTTTTGGTAGCAATTTCTCTCGGTCGTTGCGATAAGAGTTGTTATCGCTGCGGACGTTATTAAATTTTTAGATAAGAACGTGTTATAACCGGAAAGCAGATGTGCTGTTTGATGTTTCTAAGTCGCACAGTATTTCAATAATGAAGGAGAGGCGGAAGTTGATGAAAGGGAAGAGTTGTTAAATACAGGAGACGAGGCTTCTTGCGTTTCTTTAATCGTCGCTCTGTTTGGTGGAAGACGTGAATCGAATTTTTTTGGACGTGAAAAGTCAATAGTAGTACTTACGCATATTTTGTGTCAAACATTCAGTAGTTATCGTGTTTTAGAGGAAAGTTAGTTGAGTGCTATGAGTATTAAGAGGTTGAACTCGTGGTTGTTAGAAAGTTAACGTTAAGTCGAGTGAGCGGAAGCGTATTTTACGTTTACCAAGAAATTTATCAGTACCTGTTAATGGAAGTGTTTTTCACCATCAAAGGGCTAATAGTATAATAAAGTTTCATCATTTTGTGCTTGTGGGTCTGTTTGGTTGAAAATCGGAATTGACCGAAGATTTTGGATTATTGACACTGGGCCCTGAGTGGCTGTTTTTCTTTCAGCCTGATTGTTTTATGTCAAATAAGTTTATTCCATATGCAAGTGGTTGGTTTCGTGATTAATCGAGCCCGAATTACGACCCAGATAAATGTTTTTATGTTTTCTTGATGTTGTACCCAGAATTACATCAGGTGTCGACTAAAAATGTCTTAATTAATTCTTTGGAATTTTGGAGGCGGTTAAGGCTGCCTAATGTCTCAATTTAATACAATTTACGCCAATATGGAGATTTCCGTCATAGCGGAGGCTGGGCATAATTATAATTATTTCTTTTAAAAGTTTTCTTGGTACCTGTACTTA